TGTCCACTCACTGAAGTCCCTTTTTTACCCATAAACCAACAAGCGAAGTCTTCGTTTTAACTCTAAACCAGTATAAGTGCCTCTTTATACACCCTGAGGTGTGAGGAGCAAACACTTAACCAGTCACTGGCGACTGCTCTGTGCATGTGCACCCCTTCCCCCCATTGTGTTCTTGGAACTTGACTGTAGTACTACCTCCTGAGGTGCTGAAATTTAGCTCCCAGAATATGCCTCTGAAGCAGGCACATGGCAATGGAAACAAACACACAACCCGTGACTCGGCTTGGCACCATTCCCTAGGTTTCTATCAGAGGTTGAGGACTTGAGTCACATGACTTGACTCAAGTCAGACAAGTTGCAAATTTATGGACTTGCAGAATTCCTCGACTTACACTGGTAAAAAACTCAACTTGACTTTGACTTGGTATTCATGACTTGAGACTTAGATTTGACACAGATGACTCTAAATTGCTTCATTCATTCATTCATTCATTTTCTACCGCTTAGTCCCTGAACGGGGTCCGGGGGGGGGGGCGGAGCCAATCCCGGCCAGCAATCGGGCGAAGGTAGGGTACACCCTGGACAGGTCGCCAATCCATCACAGGGCTAAATTGCTTCACTTTTTGATTAAATATTAGCATTTTTCTAGATATTAAGTTACTTTTAGATTTTGAAACCCAACTAGGTGACTTCTAGTGCAAAGTATGCAACCCTGGCAACCTACCAGAACACAGCAGACCAGCAGGGGTCAACACAGAGTGCAGGATGCAGCTATTGAGTGGCCTAGTCCAAAATAAAATTTGGATTCAACCATTATGATTTCAAAGATGGCAGTAAGAAAACATCAGCAATATGCAAAGTCTGCAGTGCAAAAATCAGGGACACGACCACCACGACATCAACTTCATCTATGTAACTGGAGAACACAAAAATATAGACACTTTGAATATAACATAGTCCAGTACACCACCACCTTTAACTATGACCTTGAGGATAAACGTATATTTGAATTTATATATTCATGAAAATTTCAGCAGAAATAAACATGAGCTTCATAAACAGACGTTAAGGTGGAAGTGTTGCATTGAACTGCATACAATGGTAAAGGTGTACCTAATAAAGTGGCTTCTGAGTGTAAATTCTAATAAATCCTGTGATTGGGGGGGAAATAATGAGCCCTACTGATCTACATGAATTTGATAAAGTGCATTTTTCATTTTTTGCATGACATAAACACAGCTGAAGATTACAAATATGTGTTGAAAACAGCAGGAGCCCTAACCATCAGTCCTAATGCTCATTATGTCAAATTCAGTGGAGTTACATATGAGCATATGGATTAGCAATAACCTTTAGTTTTCCACACACCTTTGGTGAAATGGTGGAATTCAACCCTGGAAATCCAAACAATCCAAAGCATAAATTAAAAATAAAACCACTCATCTAGCCAAAAGCAAAGCAGCTAACTAAATATTAAAGCTTGCAGAAAACACAGACATGTGCACTGTTGGACTCACTCAGTTTATATCAGTTATAGTTATAAGCTCATTAGCACTGTGCAACATGTTGAGGATCAGATCTCCTCTGGAATATCCTGAAGATCTGAAAAAGAGAAAACAAACCCACATTCACACTGTTTTGCCCAGTTTGCTCAGATAAAATGGTGTAGTGGCCAGTGTAAGTTGTAAACATACTCTGATATTCATTCATTTTCCAGGTTTCAGTCCATAGATCTAACATTCCAAAATCACCATTGTACACTGAACTGACAAATGAAAAACACTAGTTTAAATAACTGAAGATATTACTCATACTGATTGTGAAGCATTGAAAAGAGATGTTTAACTGGTTTAACTGAACTGTGAAATGTGTTGAGTTTCAAAACTTCAGCACAGACATTAGAGCAAAGTTGAGATATTGAAGGTATTCACATAATGTGCTGTGTGACACTGGACAAAGAACCCCCATTTGCCAAACCTGTTGTAGCCTCTGCACAGGAACCATTGCCTAACAAACACTGTGATCCCAAAAGGGTGCATGTAACATTCATAGTGTGGTGAGTTTTATGGCTAAAATCGGGCCTTTGGAGCTTTCAGATGCTGTCCCATCATCGTCGTCTGATGTCATGTCTACTTCCAAATCACTGCCATCTACTCGGTGGACAGGCTCCTGTCTGGGCTGCAGGTTGTCAGCTCCACTTCCTGGCTGCAGAGATGCAAGCTAAAAGAAATGATGAAAGAGCTTGTAGAAACCTAGTAGACATGGGATGCCATGTACTGTAAACCTACTGATTAGCTTGATATTTATCATTCCTTGTAAAAACAATAGGATTGCTCTGCTCAAGTTACACAATAAAACCAGTTTAATCTTCATGGTTCACTTTATCTGATAATATTTCTGATGGCATCGCGATCACATCATCAGGGGTCTCTCAGTTTTAGAGTGAGACTGCTATTCTTCACAGAAAGTCTGGATGTGAACTGGGATCTTGAGTAGCAGGCAGGCTGCGTCTAATAACATTATGCCACTGAATTGTATTTTGGGAAGAGTAGGTTTCAGTCATTTTGGAACTTGACTGATTCTACAGACTGAAAGTCCCAATAATTCAGCCTCTGGAGTTTGACCATTTTTAAAAATCTGTCTCTTGCGGGTCCCCTAATTTGTGGGGTTGCAATACAGTTGGTGTTACTTGAGAAAGCTGCTCCCCTGGTTGTTGGGAGGCAGATGCAGCCCCACTGCAGACCTTCATATTTCGGACCTGCTTCTCCAACTTGGCCCGGGCCTTCTCACTGTCTTTGAACCGACTCTCAGCATCCCGCAGCCTCAGCAGCTCCTCCTGCAGCAAGCTGTGTTGTCTCTGCAAAAGAGCCAGTTCCCCAATTGTTGACCCCACACTGGCTTCCCGGTTTCCACCATCTCGCCAGAGAGGGCGCGCCACTCCTCCTGCAGCTGGCACTATGGCATCTTGTGTCTGCAACAGCAACTCTAAGATGGAGTCTTGTTTGATGACAGCAGCCTGCAGGATATGGTTTAGGATCCGGTGTCAAACATTTTACAGTTACAAGCACTCAAACAGGACAAACTTGAGCAGAGGTGTGCCTGTTCTGTCAAGGGTTACATTAAGTTTTACGGTTCAGTTATTTTTTGGAACAAAATGGAGACAAGTTCAACGCCAAAGATTTTCCAGTTGACTGGATGGCAAGCCAAGCTACAGAACCCTGAGGGAGGGATCACACAAACCGTTACCTTCTGAAGCTAGATTCCCTTCTGACACATGTACAGTGAATGACTGAACTCAGGGTGAGCCAAGGGTTGTGTTTATTCTTATTTTAGTTTGTTACTGTGGTTAAGTTTCATTGAGTCATTATTCTTATAGTTTGTTATTATTGCTCCAGTATGCAAGTTTTTTTTACATTTATACTTGAGTTGAAACCTCCTTTCTGGTATTTATATCACAGTACATGCTACCAGGCCCGCCAATGCATACACGTCCGTCACACACTGTGTGTAGGGCACTGACAGGGGCACCAAAAAACGATGACAGTAATTACAAAAATAAAAAAGATAATTTTAAAGTATACATAATAACTAAACACCACTGATCCAGTAAACAGTGAAGACTACAACTTCCTGATTCAATAAAACTAAAGATGGTGCCCCCTCTCCACCTCCCTGTGGTCTGACAGGTATCATACTGCAGGACGACCATCATGCATCACTTGCAGGTCTGAAAACATTAAGTAGAAGTGAATCTTTTTTATTTATATTTATTTATTTATTCCACTGTTACTCTGAATAATCCACACCTACAGATTGTCTACATTTTCATTAGAGCTACTTTCTGCTGAAGAACTATGAAAACTGTGGAGCCCACTCCACCTACACCCAACCTCTCAACCTCACTGGACAATGGCATTTAGCCCCTGCAGTCAAAGGTACCTAGCCACAATAGAAGGTAAATGTACAGAAAAAGTGCACACACTACAGTGTATGCAGTACAGACTGACACCACTAAATGACAAGCTGTGTAATAAATATGTGTAAGTGGTCTTCTGTCACTGCAGACCTGATCAGAAGCTGCCAGATGAGAGATGCAGATGTGTGCATCTGAAAATTCTAGGCTCAGATAATTTCACATTAAACATATTTTTCACATTATGACATTTTATTTTCTTGTTATAACGACATACTGTATTTTATCATAGCAACAACATACTGTGATAACTTAAGTGAAATGCTGTTTCACCACAAATTCATGGCCATATGATTACATATTATTAGTAAGAGGAACAGTATGTTATGATAAAACATGTTGTAATAACATAAAATATATTGCATTTTAACATGAAAGTATCATAAAAACAAGATACTAAGCAAATATTTTGGTGGCAGCAATATGCTGCCCTAGAAAAGTGCTGCCATATAACCTAGTACAGATGATATTTTGCTTGAGTTTTCTTTATGCCACATTGTTATTAGTCATAATTTAAATAACAATCATTAATCCCTGTTTATACTTAGAGTTAAAGGACAGATTCACAGTTTTTCAAAATTGACAACACACCAATCACATTTTCATATGATCATTGAAATAGGTTTTGTTTTCTGTAACAAATCCTCCTGTTCATTCTGGCTAGTAATAGATCCCTTTTGAATGTACTTACAATGTTAAGGGTAAAAATGCATGGTCCTCATTCTGTATAAAAATATACTTCAAAGTGTACATGAAGCTAAAATGATGGTTAAAAAAATCTGACTAAGAGAAATTAAGTAGATATCTTTTAAAAATATTTACTGTATAAAATTCCCTGTTTGTGTTAAGGTTCCTCCACCATGGCCCATCACAGGAATATCATCCAGGGCAACCAAGATGAACTGGACACCAAATTATAAGAGGGCAACAATCCATTCTTGAAAGTTGCTAAGTGGTGCATAATTAGGCTTCCAGACTAATTCGGTACTGTTTTGGCTCAAAGGATCTAACATTTACATAAATGAAGATTACACCGAGTATTTGAGGAAGAAAAGAAGGGAATTGATGCCGAAGTTAAAGGAGGCCAGGGCGAGGGGAGACATCGCGTTCCTGAGGTATGATCGACTAGTGACCAGACCTC